ACACACAGTTTCGGCCAATCTCATGTTAATCTTGAGTACCTATAGTGTAGTATTGCATCATTCACATCTCCGAAGAGTCTTCTGTTTTATCAGATTTATAAAAGAAAGATACAGCTTGCGATTCTCTCCAAAAACAGCTAAGCTCCTGAAGAGTCGCGAGCACTTACACTTACTAACAATCACAGACATTTGATGCAGTTTTACAGCAGTTCCTATATGACCGGGATCTTTTATCGCTGGGGCTTCTCCATCTTCCAGTAACAAATGATGTGCAAATCCAGTGTCAGAATGTACCTTGTTACAAAACATTCGTCACCGAAATGACGGGAACAAACAAACACGCTTGAGAAACTCTGTTGCTGCCTTGGAAAAACAAATTGCATCCACTGTTCACATAACACTGAATAAGGTTATCTTTTCCTCACATCCAAAAACACACTCTTTAGAGATAATAGGCTTGTTCAACTTCATGCGGCACTGCAAAGATCGGCTGCTGCCTGTCAAAAACAATTCATTCTGGTTACATTAAAAATGCTTTTGTCCAACTTTGATCGGTGCTACAGCCAGCCTACGATCACATGTGCATTTAAAGTACCACGAGAGCAAAACGGGACCAGCTGCCTAGGTCAGACACTGCAAAAGCCTTGATGACGACACACTTTATTCTCATTGGTTAGATTCTGTGATGACAAGCACGATGTGTGTTGCATGCTTATTCTAACAATTAAATTCCAATGCTCACAAATCTGTGTTTATATAACAGTAAAAGCATTTTTAGGTAGTTGCACTGTTATATTGAGTCACGTTTCAAAAAACACTGATGACAGCATATACACCCTCACTTAATTGGTATTTAAATAGCATATGTTAATGTTTAACTTATTCATTAACAGATGGCGCTGTATTAAGCAGTATAAAAAGTGTTTCTGTTGCTTTATGAAAACAGTTCTGAAACATCTGTGTATTTGGCAAATGTTGCATTTATTTCACTTCATCTGTGAATGTATGCAAACATTACCAGGAGCAGAAAGTGTCTGACTTGACGTCTCCGCTTTAATTCAGCCCCGACTGCAAGCGGCTACTCTCTCCAGCCAGAGGCAGGCTAGTGTTGTTCC